AATAAAAGCAAACAAGACGTCGAATTATGAGCTACATATGAAGTACATAGACTGTGTAGTGTATTTGTACCAAAGTGCTACTTATTAGCAGAGTATGACTGACAGTTTCAGCTGTAGTTGCATGCTAACTTTCCAAGGGAATATCATCAACCATACCGAAGTTGGTTTCACTCGTACACACATGCACTACCATTACGAGCGTACATTCTGTATGGATGCCATATAAGTGTCCCTATAATAAAACCTATTGTCACCTGATCCCTGCTGTTGGACTTTTACTGCGATCCAACTGTAGCTCTTCCTCAATCAGAACTTTCATCTCCTCAGTCAGAACTGCCTTCCACGTCTACCTATCCATGGCGCTGAAGCACATACTCCTGATCCGCGATCACTGCTGTCGAGGCTTGCAGAGTCAGGAAGAACTGTGCGAGGATCTCGTCTATCTACAATAATAGATTTTTAAAGTAAAACTACAGTAGTATGGACTGTTGTAGATGGCAGCATGCTGTGCATGATGAGGTAATTCTCGTACTGTCAGTAATTATTAACAGCCTTCTCAGTTGAAGACAAAATTTGGACATTACGATCCACAGTGAGCCATCAATCTCGTAATCCTAATCTTCGGTGGGTGTGGCGTACAACGTATCTCAGGGAGGTGATCATACATTCAAAAGCTGCTAAGTAACACCAAATCAACATTAGCTTGGACCATTTTTCTTCATCAAGATGTTTAGACAATATGCCTAATAATTTAGGAATTTATATTGTTGCTTTAATAAAGATAAGTATGACTGATATAATGATCTTCACTTCTATCCCCCCAAGGCAAGCAGGTTGTCCACCAGCTGGCGGCCATGATGGTTTTTGGATCAGGGCTGACGGAAACTACTGAGGAAGATAGCCTGAGACCCAAAAAAAGTTGAACTTGTGTTATGGAGGCCAGAATTCGAGCAGTTTCAGTTGCAAGGTGAACGTCAGTGTTCAGGTAGCAGCATTATAGATTTTCAGGTTGTCAATCAGTCTTATTGAATGTCAGTTTCAAGCTATAATAAAGTTCTAAGTTCAGAATGCTATGCCAATTCCAAATTCTATTTTTTAAGCAACTTTTCAAGTCTATTATCCTCCTGATTTCATTTCTTTATATATTGATTCATATTCAGTATTTTCGCTGGCAACATAAACTCCAGCCCAATATGTACCGGCTACAGCACGTATTATCTCCGAGGAGATTCTTGTATACACAATGTGTAGGACGAGTATATGAGCAATACCTTGTCTTTAATCTGATTTTTGCTTTAAATACTCAGCGCACCTATTTAAATTGTCAACATTACTGTTGACATCCTTGTCAGTGCTCACATACTTTCAGAAGTTCCAGTGTGCTGAATAGATCATAACATTTAATATGATTACTTTTTGTAAGCAACCTTTCAAGCTAGATGCACGAAATGCTGTTCCCGATGAATAGACACAGTACAGAAAAGACCAGCTATGTGTGGGGAAAACTCCTTGCGGCGACGGCCTCAACTGCCTGACGAACGCAAGCCCGACTTGCAGACTAAAGAAACACATAGCGCTCAGTGGATCCAAAATAAGCCCCGAGTAATATCGCGCCACCCACGCTTCCCACGATGTAAAATTTTAGTTTGCAAGCAATGAAGGAGCACCTTACTTCCGCCCAAGAGGCATAGCAGAGAAAGGGTTTCACTTGGCAGCATTACAGACATAAACCAGCGCCGTTGACCAGATCTACGGCCCCCGTCTAACCTCAAAACCAACAACGCGAGGAAGACTCGCGAGATCCCGCGGAAGAGTCCCTGAAAAGGGAATTCAGAATTCAGTTCAGAGCTGCGTTCCCGTGCCAGTCTTCTGTGAGATGATAATTGGACGATAGTGTTCAGAGAATGTACATAGCAGTAGAGATGCAACCGAGGACCTGTCCAGGAGAGGCTACACAGGAAACTCCATATCACTGGCTGACCTGGAAGAAAGCGAGATCTCGCGAACCGAGGATGACTCCTCTCTATGTCGCTAAAAATCTTACTTGGACGGACGTTAGCCAACAGGCAAACGCAGGTGATCAGAGCTCATCTTAATCAGCCTCTATTTCTATGCTATGAAACTAGATAAATTCGACGAGCCAAAAACTTAAAAGGTTAGAGAAGAACTGATGAAACTTCAAAAAGAACACTCAGCAACATTGAAAGATAGCACCAAACTTAAGATCCTGAATATAAAAAAAGAAATAGATGTAATCAACACACAAAAAAAGCTTCTATTCACGAAGCAACAATATTATGAGGCAGGAGGGAAATCACTGAAACTCCTATCATTTAAGCTACGAGAACAGCAAGCAGACAGAACGATACATAAAATAAAAAACCCTACAACAAATTCAATAGAAACAGACTTCAAACATGCTTCGAAAACTACTATAACCCTAACCCTAACCCTATTCTCAAACTCAAACAAATAACGACCAACAAATAGATACATTCCTATCATCAATCCATTTACCAAAGGTCACAGTGATAAATTAACCGCCAAAATAACAACAGAAGAACCACAATCAGCAATAGGAAAACTAAAGGGAGGAAAAAACCCCGGGATCAGATGGCTTCACACCAGAATGGTACAAAATAATGAAAGAGCAATTAGTTCCGACACTACTGAAAACATTTAACTGGGTGCTGGAAAATAAAAAAATCCCCCCATCATGGAGAGAAGCAATGATCTCCATTATTCCGAAGGAGGGAAAGGAAAGACTAGACTGTGGGAATTATCGCCCAGTTAGTATTTTAAATATTGACTACAAACTGTTCACCTCCATATTATCTAAAAGAATGGAACAGATATTACCAGAGCTAATACACAAGGACCAGACAGGATTCATTAAACAGAGACAGACCCAAGACAACATCAGGAGGACACTTCATATAATGAGGCAAATCACACGGAAAAAATCGGAAACACTTTTAATTAGCTTAGATGCAGAGAAAGCGTTTGACTCAGTAAGGTGGACTTTTTTGTATAAAGTACTGGCAAAATTCAGCTTCCACACAACCATAATTAAGACATTTGCAGCACTGTATGAAAGTCCCACAGCTAGAAAAAAATTAATGGTGACTTCACCAACCCATTTACTTTGAAAAAGGCATGAATCAAGGGTGCTGTGCATCGCCACTCCTCTTTGCCCTGTTCATAGAACCCCTGAACCAATGGATACGGGAGAAGACAGATATTAAAGGGGTAACAATGTCCACAGGGGAACAGAAATTGGCTTTATTTGCAGACGATATATTGATAACTCTTACACAGCCTCCCAAACTTAATGAATATGTTAAATGAATTCGGCCTACTTTCGGGGCTACAAAATCAACATTAACAAAATCCAGGTACTAGCCCTTAATTATGACCCTCCAATATAGATAAAGACCCTTTACAAATTGAACTGGGATGCAGAATGCATCAAATATCTGGGAGTAACACTAACACCTAAAAACCTTTCCAAGATATTTGATCTCAATTATGGACCTGTAAATTCCAGAATAAAAGCAGACATGCAAAGATGGAACGTTATCCCTTTCCTGAGTTTGAGTTCTAGGATTCAGTCAATTAGAATGAATATCCTTCCACGATTATTTTTTTCACTGCCTGCCTGTGGAAATACCACCAAAACAATTTTTTATTTGGGACAGGTCAATATCAAGATACATATGGCAAGGGAAAAGGGCCAGAGTAAAATATAAAACCTTGCAATTAAGAAAAGAAAAGGGAGGAATGGGCCTTCCCTGTCTCCAGGAATACTACTATGCAGCTCAGCTGAGACCATTGGCTTGTCTATGCTCACCAAC